GACTCGATTTAGCAAATTTTTGAGGTCATGCTATACTATGACTCAATTTAGCATGTTTTTGAGGTCATACTATACTATGACTCAATTTAGCAAATTTTCATACTATACTATGATTAGATGGAGCCTATTTTTGAGGTCATATTATACTATGACTCAATTTAGCGTGTTTTTGAGGTCATGCTACACTATGACTTGTTTTATCCAATTTTTTAGGTCATATTATAGTATAACTCAATTTAGCAAATTTTTGAGGTCATACAATACTATGATTCGATTGAGCCTATTTTTGAGGTCATATTATACTATGACTCGATTTAGCAAATTTTTGAGGTCATGCTATACTATGACTCGATTTAGCCTATTTTTGAGGTCATGCTATGCTATGACTGGTTTTTGAGGTCATATTACACTATGACTTGTTTTAATCAATTTTTGAGGTGGTATGATAGTATGACTCGATTTAGCCTATTTTTGAGGACATGCTATACTATGACTCAATTTAGCCAATTTTTGAGGTCATACTATCCTATTACTCGATTTAACCAACTTTTGAGGTCATACTACACTATGACTCAATTTAACGTGTTTTTGAGGTCATACTATTCTATGACTCGATTTAGCGTGTTTTTGAGTTCATACTATACTATGACTCAATTTAGCCAATTTTTGAGGTCATACTATCCTATTACTCGATTTAACCAACTTTTTAGGTCATACTACACTATGACTCGATTTAGCGTGTTTTTGAGTTCATACTATACTATGACTCAATTTAGCATGTTTTTGAGGTCATACTATAGTATGATTCGATTGAGCCTATTTTTGAGGTCATGTTATACTATGACTCGATTTAGAGTGTTTTTGAGGTCATACTATACTATGAATCGATTTAACCAATTTGTGAGATCATATTATACTATGACTCAATTTAGCAAATTTTTGAGGTCATATTACACTATGACTTGTTTTAATCAATTTTTGAGTTGATATGATAGTATGACTCGATTTAGCCTATTTTTGAGGTCATACTATCCTATGACTTGATTTAGCCAATTCTTAAGATCATATTATACTATGACTCGATTTAGTGTGTTTTTGAAGTGATCCTATGCTATGACTTGTTTTAGCCAATTTATGAGGTCATACTATACTATGACTCAATTTAGCGTGTTTTTGAGGTCATACTATACTATGACTTGTATCCAATTTTTTAGGTCATTTTATAGTACGACTCGCTTTAGCGTGTTTTTGAGGTGATCCTATACTATGACTAATTTTAGCCTATTTGTGAGGTCATACTATACTATGATTCGATTTAGCCTATTTTTGAGGAGATATACTTTAACACGATTTAGCCTATGTTTAAGGTCATATTATACCATGTCATTTTAGGAGATAATTGAGGTCATACTATGACTCATTCTAGCTAAAAAAGAAATCTGACTTCACTTATATATATTAGTAAAAACAAAACAGAAAAAAAAGAAACAAAACATTATATCAACTATCACCCCTTTGAGTATTAAACACTAGAGGGAAAAGATGAGACTTTAAAAGTTTAAAAATGGAAGCAGACAGCTTTATGGCATACCTCACTTCCCCCGTTCTACATTTGTTATAAAGACGGTAGTTGATTCGAGTAAATTTCCCTGAGACACCTTATATTCCTGAAAATTGTGCAGGGTTGATACTCAGGCAATGCGGCACCTTCATGCTGGGATCTTTCTGTGTTTACTGTGAAATTATCAAATGTAGTATTCCACTAAAAGCATCAGTGCTGCCACCCTTTGGGGAACTGCTAGTTCCAGAGGTGGTGAATTAGATCAGCATTGAGGCAAAAAACCTCCTAGGGTGGCCATGGCCACCCGAGGCCCGCCATTTAGCTACATCCCTGTTGACTTATTTCGTTCTAAAACGTATATTCTGATTGTTCAATGCTGAAGGAAATCCTTTCCTTTGATAAGAATATTCAGACTATTTTAAAGTGCCTGCCTTGTTAGGTGAACTAACAAAAAACAGTTATGTAATGTTTACTCTAGTCTCATCCTTCTACTTTTGAGGACTTAACGAGGAAGACTTGAACATAATGCATGAGTATTAAGACTTTTTATCATTTTTATCAGCCATTGGATATTTACTCCTGCCAACAGAAGGATGTATTTAAAAGTATTTATTGACTTGCTGTTGTTGATAGTCTGTTTTCCTATGTACAAACTAGGAGCCCGTCTGTCATGGGAATACTGGTGGCTGAACGCAAGTTCTTTGGTGAGATCGGGAGCCTCGACGGCGGGATGAAAATATACGGAGGTGAAAATGTAGAGCTCGGCATCCGGGTGAGACTTTAAAAAGAAATGCAGTGAATTGTTTTTCTGTGGGGTTTCGAAGGTATAGTGGAGGGTGTTCTTTTTCTGGGTGGATCCTAAAAATAAGGGGTCCTCCTAATTGTCAATCATTCTGGTGATATGTTTACGTAAGGCCATCCTACGTGCTCCTCCACATTTTCAGTTACTGCTGGCGAGTCTGAAATGGAGGAAAAATTGCAAATCTTCTTTTGGAAAGTAAGTTTGTATGAGCGATGCAAACTGCAACTTTTAAACAGAGCGTGCACCAGGAGAAATAGGCTCCTGCTCTTTAATAGGCATTCCCTCTCAGGATTTCAAAAAAAAAAAAAAATCAACCTGCTTGGAAGCCTTTTTTAAAGTGAGTTTGTGTTTTGCAGGTATGGCTGTGTGGAGGCAGCATAGAGATAATCCCCTGCTCAAGGATCGCTCACATTGAACGCTTTCATAAGCCTTATGCCCGAGATCTGAGCTCCTTCGTGAGGCGCAACGCCCTGCGGGTGGCGGAGGTGTGGCTGGACGACTACAAATACAACGTGGAAGTGGCCTGGAACCTCCCCATTGGCGTAAGATGCATCAGATTATTACTAACATGAGTTCAATCTTTTATCATCAAAAATAACTCGATTAGGTTTTATGAAAGGCTGCAAACTCTTAACGATCAAGCAAACAGCCTCATGTGATCTCATTTGAACAGAATCATGGGATAGACATCGGAGATGTTTCTGAGAGGAAGAAGCTGAAAGAGAAGCTGAAGTGTAAGCCCTTCCAGTGGTACCTGGATAATGTGTATCCTATGCTGGAACCAATGAGCAACCTGCTTGGTTATGGAGCTGTAAGTCAAAAACTAAAGCTTTTCACGTTGGGATGCAAAAACCCAAATGTGGTGCAATACTTTTTTAAAATTTAATAAATTAATGTAAAAATTCTCTATATTCATTAAGCAGCCATAACCTTTCGTTCTGTGGAGATCACAGCAGTTTGCACTGGGTGACATGGTTTGTTTTTGCAGCTGATTAATGATCTCCTGCCTGATCAGTGTGTGGATCGGGGCCCAGTTCCTGGCTTCATCCCCATCTTACATGGATGCCACTTCTTCACCCCACAGGTAATGTGTAGAGCACAGGTGTCAAACCGGTTCCAGGAAGGGCCATGTGGCTGCAGGTTTTCTTTCCAACCAAGCAATAGCATCAGACTCAAGTCATCTCATCAAGCCTTGTTTAGATTGGAGTCTGATGCTATTGCTTGGTTGGAAAGAAAACCTGCAGCCACGCGGCCCTTTCTGGAACCAGTTTGACACCCCTGGTGTAGAAGCTTTCAGCAGGATGTTTGTTGATGGTGGATAATTTGTTTTTCCTGTCCCAGCATTGCCATTACCACACTGATGGGACACTGCACATCGGTGGGTTCAAATCCCACAAATACGACAGCAGCGACTGTCTGCTGGATCCTGGTTTAGGAGCTTTACCTGGACTGTATCAGTGTAGAATGGCAGAGCAGAAGAAACTGCACATGTTTTGGGACTTCAAACAGGTAAAAACAATAACTTCTTAAATATGCAACAGAAGCTTGTTTGTTGGAGGGGAACTTAAAGATTTATTTGTGAACAGGGGGGGCAGATCCAGAACAGAGAAACAAAGAGGTGTCTGGAAATCTCAATGCGAGGCTTGAATCTCAAACTGGTTCTTCAGCAGTGCAGTGGTCAGCGATGGAAGCTGCAACATGTGGTCGATGTTACGGCACAAAAACTGCACCGTCTTTCAGAGAAACTGGTACTGTAAACGCAAAAACAAGTGGAGCTTCATCCAGGAGGTCCACGGCGACAGCATCCTTCCTCATTCATAGTTCAAGTCAAACAGGATTAGGTGTAACGGGGCAGTCAGGAGTTAGCAGAGATGAAGCTGTCCCATTTGGTTTGCCACATGGTGAAAGCTCTGTCCTTAAGCTCATCGGGCAGCGAGCTGTACCTGCAAACAGAGTAAACGGCTCTAAATGTACCAATCATGGACTTTGCAAAGGAGCAGCTGATTATTGGAGAGTTCACTCATGTAGATACTTTAGTTTATGCACACAGAACAGAGCAGCTTCATCTCTATGGTAATAGATGGTCATAAATTGGATTATTTAGAATTACAGGAATGTTGCAGAGTTGACTACTCAATGTGGCCTAGTCTCTATGAACCCAAAAGTAAAGTTTAACCATCACAGCTTGTTTTTTTCCACACAGGAAGAGAAACATATCTACCACAACAACTGACAATACAATGCTTTTCTTCTAAATGCACATTTTTCTGGAAATAAACAGTTTGACTTGTTCTGGCGTGTTCAATCACTTGGTCTGACCTGATGGAGTTGACGACCAGCTCTTTCAGCGTGCCCAGATTTGCCTTCAGCCCTCCGATCCCCACAAAGGCTTCATAAAAGTCAAAAGAGAGCCCAGTGGTTCCGAACATGGAGGGGTCGTCTGAGCTGATCACCATCGGGTGGCCTTCAGACATCAGCATGGCTGCAGGGTGGTTCCTCAGGTCCGAGACCAGCTTCAACACCTGATGAACATCAGAAACATGAGAACAGGTCCATGTCCTGCTCAGAGATCAGCTTTGATAGAATACCTGGTTAGAAATGGGGCAAAGCTCCACAGCGACGTTCCTTTTCCTAGAAATCTCTTTGGCCAGAGGATGGTGGGCCAGAGCGTAGCCGTGCCCAATGCGGCTGGTGTTGAAGAGCAGAGCATCTAGGAGATTTTGATCTACGTCTGTTCCTTCATCATCTAGACACAAACAAAGAAATTTAAAACTATTTAGGTTTACAAAATCCATCAACATACTTTGGTTAAACTGTGTAGCTTGACTGATTAGTAAATTAAAAGATTTTCCCTTTTTGTCTAGTAGAACTTAGGGGTGTGATTTATCAAATAGAAGCCTGATGGGGAAACTGACAAAGAGTGAGGTGGGAAATTAAAGCCAGATTACATAATCAATCTCAGACACTTCATAATTTATGCTGGCAGAGCTGAAATATAGCTTCCATTCTAAGTCAATATTTTAACCATTGACCAACAGATCAACCCATAAACATGTTAAATGGATGCTGTTAATAGAGAGAAGTAAGGCTGAAACAATGAAGGGGATTAATCCATTATTTAAATGATGGTAAAAGTTAGTTTGTGCAACGTATTTGCTTGGTTTTTTAAGAACTAAATATGGATAAACAGAACTATGTACATTTTAATGTATATTCATTCAATCTGTGTAAAAATGGTGGTGCCTTCATACTGCAGTTTAAAAATAAAGATTTGGAAACTATTTCAAAATGATTTGACGAAGCCAAAAGTTTTAATACTCATTTTAAATCTTATAGATACAGATTTTCTGAATATTTCATGTCAACCAGCTCTCACCACCATGAATTTCCCTCAATATGTCAATCATCACAATAAATAAAATACAGTGAAAGACGACCTGGAGCAATAGGTGATCATCACCAAGCTGCATTTTGATGGAGACGCTGCCGATGTTCTGAGGAGAGCCACAGATCAAACCTCGCTGACCTACAACAGTAGAATCACAATCTTCCCGGTTTACACCACCAGTGTGACCAAGGCGTGCACCGCTTTGTCTGACGTACGGCTGTGCGCTTCAGATTACTCTATCGAGCAAGATTCCAAATTACATACAAATAGGATAGTAAAGAGTTTCTGGATCCCATGAAGGCCATGGGATACATCAAGAAGACCTTCCTTTATGCAGCCGCTGTAATAGAAAGTCTCCATTAAGCCTGCCTCAAGGCTTGTATTATTATTACTAGAAAATTCTGTTTTCAAAGTATTTAAGTAAACCTGCAGTCGCCTGAACTCCTTGTTCACAATACTTTTTAAAAATACTTTTGCTTTCTGCATTTTAATCCTCTTGTTCCCCGAGGATCTTGTTACATCTAACAAAACAACAGAGCTTTTGAGTTTCAGTCTCGGCATACTTCAAAATGCTGCACAGCGTAGCGTTGTTATTTTTATCTAATTTCTTCACCGTAATTTTCCTCTTCCATTTTACTCAATCATCTGGTACCATCCTTTAGTTGACCGTCTCTGCCTCTGATACAGGCGGACACTACACTACTACATTTTTTTATTGGTTATGAGTAACAAATTAAACAAGTCTTGGGCTTATAAAGTTTATTACTCCTCACATGATTCAGGTAGGAAAACGGATGTTGCCATTTTACTACATAGTCAAATTAACTTTACTAAAATGCAAAGGTGTCAAAAGTTTTTTATATTTAATACTGAAGTATAATTTTTACTGTTAAAAACACTTTTGTAGAAGTTAGAGTATCAAATTAAGCCTTTTATTCAAGTAGAAGTGTAAAAGTATCATTTTTAAAATTAGTTAAAGTATAAAAGTATTGCAGAAAACAATGTGAAGGACAGAAGCTTTAAACTTGTTACTGCACTATATTATAGGAACATTTTTCTACAATTTTGGATGATGATTTCCTTATACGTAATTTCCTTATTTTATAACTTTGCATCCTCTCTAAAAACGATTTATTTTGGTATGTGTTGAACAGCAAGTTGGTTCAGCACCGAGTCCAACCACAAAAAATAAACAATTCTGATGTTTTTTATTTTTTTAAATACCAACAGGACAGAACGAAAATTAGCTCAAAAGAAATAAAACTAACGAGTCTATTTTTAAAATGCAAGGAGTAGAATGTAGAGATAATTGCAGAAAAATGTAAGGGAGAGAAAAAGTTACGTAAAAAAATTGTTACTCCAGTAAAGTATAGATGGAAAGAAATTCTTCTTAAGTAACGAAGTATTTCTACTTTGTTAGTTGTCACTTCTGCTTAAATATTAGTACATAAAGAGAGAGGGCAGATTTCTATTGGTAAATGGGACAACTAATAGAGCCGCTGTTTACTTTATAAATATATAAGCTCCCAATGAAGATAGATCAGGGTTTATAAAGGCGCTCTTCAACAGGTTTGCAGAATAAAGCTTAATTATGGGGGTGATTTTTTATATTTAATGTCAAATTTTGACAGATAGTCTCTAAGTCTAGGTATGGGAAAGCTGGAAAACATCCAGAATATGCAGACCAGTGTGCCTTAAGGACTAAAGTTGAGGAAAAAAAAGCCTTACTTTGTCTCTGGTTGGTTGATGTGATAGAAAAACAGATGATTTCAGATTTACAAACTCTAGCGTATATAGCTTGCCATCCACCTCAGGCTATGTTCACTCCCACTTTTTACTCCAATTAGCCTCATCGCAACGACCGCATCACTAGGAATAACACCTTTACAGTGTTTTTGCAGCGCTTCGCTCCTGAACGTGCCTCTACATTGGGATAACATAAATCATTGGTCTTACTCCAGCCATGTTTAAAGTGCAGCAAGCTTTTCTCTAGGAATATTTCATAGGGTGTACGCCTCGGCATATCTCATATTTACATTTTGGGAGGCGTGGCGGGGGCCAGGAAATTTTTGAAATGTAGACTCTCTGAAATGTTATTTCCTGCGTTTTGAGGTAGAATGCAGCTAACTTTTTGTCTTTGTTCAAGCACTACTTTTGTCCTGATTATGAGATGTGTGTTTGACTAGAGGTGGAAATTTGATAAGGAAGACATGGGATCATTTTAGGTACAATATTATGTTTCATAGGTTAATTCAAACAATCAGAAAGTGTAATGCTACGTTCACATCGCAAATTAAACATAAAAAAAGCTTCTGCTGCTTCATTTTTGATGCTTGTACACTTCTGCTGCTCCTGTGTTCAATGGCAGAGAGCGGCTTTGCAGTATTTGCTGTGTTAAGTGGGTAAAAAGTAGTTTTAATATAATTTTATGCGAGAAGAACCACTTGAAAACTGTGTATTCAGTTTTTCAAGATTACAATGCTGCCTTGTAATATTATTTTGCTGTCGGAGGTAAGCAGACCCCACATAGCGATGATGCACTGTCACTGGGAATCCAGCAGCAGCTGCCTCAGGCAGGTTTTTTCCACTACTGGAAGTAGATGTTAGCGTTGTTCCAGTATATGGTACAAAACTGCAGGCACCACAATAATAAAAGCGAACATATTTTGTTGGACGGTTTCAACATTTTAAGTTAATTTAGGCATTAATGAACAGTTTCAATGGAGTGATCATAGCAATCTGCATCAGCAGCGGTGTTTGTCTCCCTGCCAGCTCCAAGTTCAGCTTCTCTGATTGGTTTATATGGCGCATCGAGCAGCAAAAATTACATTTTTCCAACTCCAGCATCTGCTGCTTGTGAAATTTTGAATATTTGAGCAAAGTTTCCAGGGAAAAATTAGAGCGCGCCAAAGCTGTACATCCGAAAAACAATAGGAACAATTTGTCTTTTTTTTTAATAAAAGGTACAATGTACGCCTGTATGCATTGCTAGCTAAAAGCTTGATGTGAACGCTCCTTAAGGAACAATAAAGTCCTGTGAAATTTTCCTTAAAACTGAGATATCACAGCCAGTGCATCTATAATGCCATCCATCTTGGATGGATAAGCTAGCTGGAAGTACTTGGCTTGGCTGTGTGCATCAATCTAAAATATCTTTTGCTTACCTACACCTTTAGATCGCACACAATCATTGATAAATTAACCCTTAAATAATTTATATTAAGAAACACTGACCTGTTTCTCCTGCATGAAAGAAGTACGGCAGTGATGCCCCCAGTTCAGCTGGCAAGGAAAGGGCTTCTCTGAAGTACCAAAGAGTCCTTCCACTGTTCTCCCTGCCAACCTGGAACCCATACCAACAGGTGAAGGTGGAGTTGTTAAACACTGGTCCGTCTAGGAGCCCACACAGGTTTAAACTGATCTTACCAAGTCAAATCCTGCTACAACATCTGGGAAGTCCTTTTTCAGCTGTATGGCTTCCGTCACGGCAGCTTTGACCTCATATACGCCCAGAGCCCTGAAGAGAACAACAAATGCTTTTGAAACCATGGGTTTAATAACAAACCCCTAGCACAAATATTTTAAATAGCGGGCACAAATGAGAAATAGCACTTTACACCTCAAGCTGGTGAACATATCTGAATCTGCTCAAGATAACAGCATTTTAGACCCCCAACATGCATCTGGCACCATGACTTCATAGTTTGTTTCTTGTTTGGCCATTTCAAACATATATAGAATGTTATACAAACCTTAATATCCGTGCAGTATGTGATACATTATCCCTTTGTTCCTATTTTTTTTGTTGTTGTGTGCGCATCCTG